GCAAGTCATCTAGCAAAGTTTCTTCAGAGTAATCAAGCTCTGTCGTGAGCCTTTGGAACTCAGCCCAGAACACTGCAAAGGTGTTGTTTCTCTGATACAGCTTCCGATACTCAGTTTGAGCTGTGTGCCTTCGATCGGGATCACTGAAGACTTTTTCCAAAACTTTGAGAATTTCTTCTGCTGTCTGCAGTTTGTTTGTAGAGTTTGGTCGAAGCCTTGGATTGACATGTCGAACTGTCAGTCCTCCCAGTCGAGTCTGAATGTAGCTCATTTGTAAAGTCTGTGTTGGAAAATGATCAATGTTGGCTTCGAGCTTGAGGCGAATTTTCACAACCCAGTCTTCAAATGCTGGCTCTATCCCATCTGTGAGGATTGGAGGGTCTAGAATCCGAGCTGACAGTCTACTGTGAGAGTGGTGTCCTAATTCATTCTTCAGAGCTTGTTGGGTTTGCTTTTCAAGATATTTCTGAATTGTTTGTTGCTCTGTGATTTGTTGCTCGTTTCTCTGGATCAGTTCCTGTAACTGGAGAATGGCATCGTCCTTTTCAGCCAGTATCGAATTTGAGTCCTCTGCTAGGGCCAAATAGTCCCAAAGAATGTTCTTGTGCAAAGTCCATCCCATTTTCTGGTTGGTGACATAGTTTCTGGAATTCGTCAAAGGTTTCAACATTCCATTCAGCCTTTTCATGTCGATTTGCAAGTATAGATTCACGTCTCTCTTGAGCTGTTTTGCCCAGAGTGTGAAGGAAGGTTTTGGATTTGAAATTAGGATCATGAAGTTCATCGGTTTGGTTTGCAGAACTCGGAATTGATGCTCCTTCTGCCAGGGATTCCTGGTCTTCTTCCGGATCATTTCGAGCTGCCATTGCAGCTTTCTCTTCAGCTGTATAAGCCATAGCGAGTTGCTATTTCAATTTCGGTTTATATCGTCAAGTCAGACACATATTGCCAAAGGCCCTATTGTGCAGTTGTCAGCTGTAGGAGCCACTCGAGAGGAGCGCACTTCCCTCACAGTTATATCCTTGTCGAGGGAGCGTTGTAAAAGGTCTGACTTGCAAAGGTGGTGTGTGTGTGTCGAGCTGACTGTCGAGAGCCAACTTTGAGGGGTTGCCTCGATTGTCCTGGAATCGACTTCAGGATAAGGTTTCTGGTTCTGGGGTTTCCAAAGAGTGGATTTTGATTTCGATTTCAGAAGAGGGTTCAGCTCGAAGAGCAGGAAAAGAGGTATAAGAGAGATTGAGTTTTATGTCACGGTTCACCAAGGCATAGGGCGCCAGTTGGGTATTATGAATTAAACTCACTCTAGACTAGAAAGGAAAGAGAAGAGGAGGACTCGAGAAGTGGCTCAATCTATATACAGCTATGTTGTTGTAGAGTGAATTCTCTTTAGTGAGACCAGTTCACTCCACAACTGAAAACTTCGCTCCAACCCTGGACAGCTCCCCACACCCCTTAACCCCCACTCGAGCTGCAAGGCGCACTTGATATCATAACAGCAGGGAGAGGTAGCAGTTTTATAAGGACGTTGGCCAACATATCCTCAGTCTAGACGTAGTCGATGTTCATTTTTCTGAAAGCAATCAACTGATGCACGTAGTGATAACATCAATGTGCTTTGTCCTATAGTAGGACATTAGATCTATGGCAATAGCTAGGCTGTCCTGGTGGTCACCAAAGAGCTGGACTTGGTTGGTGACTGCGATCGCTAAGGAGCTTCTCTCGACCGATCTCCTAGAGGAGAGTCTGAAGCCACTAGCCCCACTTGCTAGCTTCGCAGAGGGCGATATATTCAGCCTCAGTCATAAACGTCGCAACACACCGCTGTTTCGACTAAGTCCTGCTAATTGGCCCCCTATTCATTGTAAGGACACAGGGCACCCAGCTCACAGTAATAGCATATGAGAGTGCGAGTCGGAGGCTAAACGGATGCTATCCTATAGGTCTACTACGAAGGATCCAAAAAAGATGAAGGGAAAAAAGATGAAGGGTGAACCCGCAAGTCATTTCCCTCAAGTACCCGATACCCCTCCGACTCGGTTAGCCCGCCCAAATGATCACACGTGACCCGCAGCTACTCAGAGTCTGCTCCTGGTCTGCTCCTTAGAGTGAGAGACGAGAGGGCATCCTTACATTCATCATGAATATGTGACCTAAGACCAAGTGATGGTCAATATGGTCGCTAGCTCGCTATAGCCCTATAAATAGGGAGGGACATCGCTACCTACTCCTCTAAACAAGAGCCTCAGACTCCGAGTCTTCTTAACGTAGCATAGAACATAGAGAACTCCATTCCAATTCCTTACCATAGGCCTTAAGCAGCTCTAGCTAAGCTGCCCCTAGGCGTACGGGATATCTAGGCAAGTCTAGATTGCAAGCCAAGCTAGGGACCTAACGCCCTGTTGATACAGGTGTTGGTTGGTCTTGGGCCCACTGCCGTCGCCCTTGACAAGTGCCACTCTGTTGGTCATTGGTAGAGTCAGGTAAGGAGAAGCTTTCTAGAGTTGAAAGCGTTTGACAATCTTGTCGTTATACCCTTTCTGATCTAGGTAGATCCAACAGTTCTTTCGGTCTCAGGGTCACTCTAATACCTAGTATCATACTGACTTTGCTGAAGTCCTTGATCTTCTAGCGTTTTTCAATACCCCTAACTACTCAGTCAACATCTAACAGGGCCTTGCTAAGGACCAACATGTTGTCGACATATAAGCCGATTAGTATCCCCTCATTAGCTGTCACAAAAATACTCGGTTCGCTGAAAATCAGCTAGAAACCCAGCCTACTAAGGCCTTTGCAGGCCTTAATGTGCCACTATCTCCTAGACTGCTTCAACCTATAGTGCAACTTCTATAGCCATACGACGTAGCCCTCTAGACAATATCAACCCTTAGGAGGCCTTATATAGGCCTAAGCTTTGCCTCCTCTGTCAAGTCAACCTTACGCAAGAAACCTCTGTGTCTTCTATATTTAGAAGTCAGCATTACACTATATACCATGCCAACATCCTTGTCTACCCCACCTACCCACTCGTCGCCCATTGCCATTCGAAACTGTATTAGGCCACTTCAGCATCATAATTTGAGTGTAGCAGCATAGCAGCTTTAGCCTAGATAGGAAATGATGTAACCATAATCCTTGCGCCCCCCTGTTGCCACTATTTCCTAATTTAGTCTAAAGCTGATATGTCATACTGACATTCATTGCACTCAGTTTGCTATCAAACTCAAGAGCAAACTTAGAAATCTCCTCCTCAAACCTACAAGTCACCATACATATCTTGGCTTATCACACCAACAACAGAAGCAATACTACTCAACGATTGCTGCAAACTCTTCTACTACATCTGTTTATGCTACATACATCACGGCATATCATTTGGACACTCATTGAACAAGTTATTAAGAAAATCTCCTCCTTAAGGGGGTGGGCCAATACTACCACATGGCATATATCTACCAACTAGAGGCCTAGGAACATGAACGATAGCTCTAGAAGCTTCTACAACCCTCTATGATTCATTACACGTCATCGCTCCTTAGTTACCCACAAGATTGGTTAAGTTATGACATAATTTATCTATAGGTACTCTGACCTTGGACCTCCTTTTCACTTCCTATAGGCTAGGAACCCAAGAGATGGTTCTATGGGATTCTCTTACGTTCACTACATGATTAGCAAGCTAGTTGTGGGTCGCACTTGATTTCTAATACATTTACCAAGCCTGGTTAGTCATGGAAAGTCATGGAAAATGAGAGAACTACACTCCTTTGGCATAAATAGGATTGCCCTTTCCTTAAGAAAGGACAAGCAGACAATACAGTAAATCGACTAGCACATACTTCTACATCTTTTCCAAGCTTCCAAGCATTGATCTTGTTATTCTCTGTTTTTGAAAAGTCAGTGAGGTGCTAACCTCTGACTTACCCCTGAGTTCTCAGACTCAACATTTGTTGCAACTTGTCTAAACCACTTCACCACATCATACACCTGATTGCTGCGTTGTGGAATAGTCTAAGCTACAACCCTTTGGCTCTGTTTCCTAAGACAGTGTGTTGTCTTAGTAAATTCATCCCTTCCTTGGGTGGCTAGATTCTCATATCTGGTGCACCCACCATTACATGATACAGTGTAGCAGCTCAGGTCTTGGCAGTCTGGTCCTATATAGGTTAGTATTATAAGTAAAATCCAATGTTGGAAAATGAAGTGGTAGATATATTATCAATTGTATAGTTATATATAATAATGAATAACGCTTTTACCAACCCCTATTTGCAATATCAAGTGCCTATGGCGCAGCCCTGGCCTACCCAACCACCACCTCACGAACTCTCAACTGATACCGCCAGCGAACCTTGGCTTGAATTGCCCCAAACCAGTGATGAAACTAGCGATTCCACTATCCTCGAAGACTCTCTAGCAGCTACAGCTCAAAGCGCTTTAGCTCAGAGTAGCCAGGCTGATGGCGTTATAACATCGAAAAGGGGGGGGGGGAAGGGGCTTACGATAGACCAAAAGACAACGATTATCCGGCTTTGCATCCAAAAAAGGGATATATATGGGGTTATTGCAGATAGATCCTTTTGGCGGCTTATAACTAAGGAGGCGGAACACTTGCTAGGTTTAACCCATAACTCTATTGGAAGAGTTATTACCAGTCTTATTCGAGAGCGTCGGAGCGAAGTCTCATTACGGCCAGAAGGACGAAGTGGCGAAGAAGATCCTCCTTCTTCATATGACGATGCAGTTGACCAATGGATTAATATCGTTGATATACGGGCTAATAAGGAATCGATTCGAGATGCAGCAAAAGGGACAAAGGAAGCAGAAATTGAAGCATCTATTGCATGGCGAACTGCTCAAACTACCCGGTTCTCGCATCGAAATCTATCGAACTCAATAGAGTCTTCCATTCCGCCTTCTGAGTTAATCCCCTCCGAGTCTATCCTCTCTGATTCTCATATTTCTGAGTCCTCTACACCGTCAACTTCAGCTTCTCAACCAAGATGAAAGCGGAAACAGTGCACCGAAGACCCCCTCCACCCTCTCATAAAGATGCAATCCTCGAAATCGCTCAGAGTATCGCAAGGACTGCTGAGCTTTCAGCAAGCGCCGATGCTGCTGAGCGGTCAAATGCAAAAGCTATCGAGAGTGTTGAATTAAAACTCCAAGAACTACGTGTGGATGTGAGTCAAATACTACATCTATTACAACAGACGCATCAGAGTACAGATGGATAGAAAGGGATATAATAGATATACATGTATATAGTTTATAATGATAAATACTCTTCTATTAATGGTGGAGGCACTGCAAACCATGATCCAGATGCTGATGTATGACGGAAGCATATAAAGCAATTTGATAATAGAACTGCAACAGGATAGTAAACCCCAACTGGCTGATATCCTGAACGGAGTGCCTTTCCAAATGCTGTATATGTCCATAGAACCTGCACTCCTCCAAACGCCTGTTCTACAGCAATCCGGACCGAAGAGAGGGCTCTATTCCAAGCCTTCCTTTCATCTGAAAGAAAGTGTCTACCCTGTGGGTGCGCCCATGGGCAAGCCATACCATAACCTGCTTGGTATGCAGGATCACCATATAGATATAATAGATTATGATCTTGCATAACCTAGATGGTTGTTAGTATTGTAATATGATAATAGAATACTCTTACCTCTCGTATATGCTCCTCTACACCAGAGCGCCGCCACATCGCCCAATCATTTACAGGACCAGGCCACGGGCCTGTTAGTGATGATATTAAACCATCAGGAGTTACTACTGCTTGGTAGTTGATTCCATGAGCCCGTTTATGGCCTGAGAATACGAGCCGCTGAGAATCTTGCCCTTGCGGACGCTGGTGAGACTGAAAAGTACCATCGACAAAGCCCCAAACCCCATCTGCACCCCCTACTCTCTCAATAGCCACTGCGAACTCTTTTAACTTCTCATATGTAATTCGAGGGTGCCATTGAAGCATCCTTGAGTAAGACTGATGTAGGAAGAGTACTGTATCTGTAAATACAGTACTTAACCAGGCTATAGAGCGGCCAAATATATCAGCAAGTGATACCCACCGCCCTGGAAATGCAAGCCTAGCACATACAACGCAAAGCGCCATCCATGGCGCTGGCTGTACTCTACCGCTCCATGGCACGTTATGGAGCTGAAAGAGTATAGTAAGTTGGTGGATCTCACTCATCGAGAACCTATTTACATAGTTATTAGTTAATATAAATGAAAAGGGGCAAAGAAGAGGAGTGCTTACCGTAGTAGTTGCCGTGCTTGGACATCGTCCAAACTCTCAAATGAGATGCGCCGGCGTTGCTGAATATGACGGCGATGATGATACTGACGACGCCGAGCCCATATTCAGTGCTCTTCTTCTTCGTCCTCTACTATACTTGCGAGGATGACAAGAAGACCCGACAACGATATCATCCTCGTTCTCTGTCTCCGGCTTCGACCTCGGGCTTGGATCTGGCTTCCTGGCATTATAATTATCACTTTTATAGGCGGAATCACAGGCGGATCACCATATGTACCTATATACGATGACATCTCCAGCTTCAAATTATAGACCCGCTTGAATCGTTCCCATTCTGCTATACTAGACTTGGCAGCAGTCGCAAAAGGGTACATATAGGTACTTCCACTTGCATATATATTTGTATGGTAATGGAAGTACCGCGATGTATCTTTTTCCCAGCCGTCACCACCTCTCCCCCCACCCGCCCAGTTCCATAGCACTTACTGAAGTAGAAAAATTTATCAAAGGCCAGTATTCTACAGAGGGAACAAAGGGCTCTATGTCACGTGGGGTGTTACAAAGGGAACGCCGTGGGGGGTATGGCCGGAAGGGGAGAATTACATCTAAACTCCAGTTTCCGCAGCTCTCCCATTTCTCGTCAAAATGGCAAAGTCCAGCGTTGTAAAATGTGAACAATTCAAGCAGGTCCTCAAATTATCGTATATTACGCTATATACAGCAGCTAACTACTCTAGGCTAAAGCTACACCACATCGCAGCTGCTACACTCGCGAGTGTAGCAGCTGCTGAAGTGGCCTATTGAACACGTCGCTATCACCACCGCACTGTCGCTCTCGTGCTCCCATAGTAGCCCCTGTAAGCATGTAGTTAATGACCTCATCATTGATGAGGATAATGGCATCGCCGAGCATTGTGACCGGCTTCACCACATGTGCTACAGCGGCTACGGACCATGTCGGGTACAGCTGCAATGCCGGCGCCAAGCGGCAGCATGCTGCCATGATCGTGGAAATCTCTACGGCCACGCGGATTCCGGGCGTCTTGTCGGCGAACCCGCTGTTTTTTAGGTCGTCCACGAGGGAGATTCCGGGCGTCTTGTCGGCGAACCCGCTCTTTTTTAGGTCGTCCACGAGGGACTCGAGTGACAAGCGGGTCGCACAAAAGACTGAGTGCTTCAGCATCTGTGTCAATGTCGTTAATGCTAACCAGCGGCAGAGTGTCTTCATACATCTGTGCCCATATAACAGCAGAAAGGTCTTCAGGGAGGTAAGGGGTAACCTGCGCCCCAGTGGCGAGGATTAGGGTCATGGCATGACCGCAGGGTATGCCATTCTCTTGGAATATGAGGCAGGAACACGTCTTATCGTCGAGGTTAACGATGTGGATATGTCCGTCAGGCTGCACCACTCGTCCTTCAACAGGTGATGAGATCTGGACTCGATTGCTCTGAGCATAGGCTCTCGCCTCCTCAACCTTCTTATCTACCCAAGGCGTCATATGTCGGCCTGCAGCAATGACTATATGCGCTAATGCCTTGCGCTCAAAGCGCTTTTCCATTACCTGATGCCAGAGACTGTCAAGCAGCTCAACTACTGGCAATTCTCTGTCGATTTTGAGAACTTGATTAACGCTCTCGACAACGTTACTAGTGTCGTGGCCGTACCGTCGGCCTTGGAACAAAACGTGTACCCACTTCTCAGGCTCAGCAGCAAGCAAGTATTCTGCTGCTTCAGCCTTCTGCTTACATAACTCTGCTAGCGCAGCATCATATGCAACGCGGTTGCTACTTCGAGCAACCTGCCAGAACAGCGGCGTTAGCCCTCTGCCAAACTTTTCAGTAAAGTTCTCATGGAGGTGATGGCAGCACCAAGCCACTGCTAGTAAACCTCCTAGCACAGCTTCTGCTTCTTGTAAGCCTTTGTCACGATCTGAGATCATCGTTGCCGGCTCAGTAGAGATCTCTTACTCAGATTCTCGAAATAGTAACAGCATGGTATATAGTTCTTTACAGGGGTCGTGCATGGTATATGGTTCTTTTGCCCTATAATTTATTATTAAAGGGTTGTTGAGATACCAACTTACAAAATCTGTGATTTAAGGTGTAAAATGGATTGGCACATTCGCTTGTTTGGCACATTCGCTAGACATGTACGTTATACATTATAAACGTATCATCTCTCATCTATCCTTAACTGCCACCTTAAATAGAACGAACATGGCAAATTTCAGATATACAAAGTCAAAGCCATAATCGATCCAAAATCGAAGAGAACAATTAAACAGCGTTGGCCTTCTTAAAATCGGCAACCTCAGAATCAATATACTTGATGAACGTCTCATGGTTCTGACCGATCTGACCGAAGACATCTCTCAGTATTCCCCCCTCACACTCGTCACGGTGGGCATGACTCTCCTCCTCACGCTTAGATATTTTTAACCTAGGCTTCAGTATATCGCAGTTGTACTGCGACTCTGCAGCCCGGGCCATGCAGATCTGCTCGGCTCTGCATGCAGCGTCACAAGCCTTAACATTGAAGCCACGGCTCTTGCGTGCGAAGAAATCCTTGAAGGCTGCCTCGTTCGTTTCGAAGAGGGAAGTGACGTCATGCCAGAAGGCAGGGGTAAGCTCGGCGGCAGCATCGGTGACGGGAGGGGTGAGTAGGGGACCGTAAGCCTCCTTGGCGGAGTAGTACTTAGTCCAGGAGAGCTTGTCGGCTGTGATGTCGGTGGTGTAGTCGATGAAGTCGAGAACACCGTAGGTCACTGGATCAACGGTGTAAACACGGAATGTGGGAGAGCCGGACGTGGGGGTTATGGAAGGGGCAATGTACGACATGGCAACAGCAGTGTCAGCGTTTCGATTGGCGTAATCAGAGTATGAGATCTCAAACTCGTCGACGTGGGTGTGTCCGTAGAACATGGCAGCGATGGTGGCATCGTAGCGGTTGACGATTTGGTTGAAGGTGTTGGAGAAGCTGTGGAAGAAATCGGAGGATCCGGAAGGAATGTGGGAGATGATGTAGACGTTGTCTCCGGCATCCTCGGCGCTTTGGAGTTCATTGACAAGCCAGGTGAACTGACCGTTGGGGTCGTTCTGCATGGGTTCCTCATACAGCCAGAAGTTGAGGGTATAGTAGAACACGGAGTTCAGCGAAATGACGCGGAGCTTCCCTCCGGGATATTTCACAGAGTAGGCGCCATACTCGTTAGCGGTATTAACTTTCCCCGAGGTGCTAATCCAGTCATTCCAGGAACTTGCAAGGGAATCATATGCCCATTGGACACCCAAGGTGGTATATATGGTGGTTGGAGGAATGCAGTTAACTGGCACCACGTCGTGGTTGCCAATCACCGGGTAAACAAGGTCGAGGTTTGAGAGGATAGAGTAGGTCGAGTTGAAGTCAGTAAGAACCTCGGCCTTGTCAACTGACCAGAGATCGTGTGCAACTACATCGCCAGTGAAGACTGTGAATGCAGCATCGGGTGCGATGGTCTTAATGGCCTGAACCATGCTTTCCTGGAGGGTGACGGGAGGATCGCAGAGGGGATTACCAAATTCGCCAGCAGGATAAGAGTTGTGTCCTGGCGCATCATTGGGCGTGTATGAGCGGCAACAGATTGGCTTCGTGCAGTTGTAACTGGCACCAACCTCATAGGAGAGATCAACGTGAGTATCACTAATGTGGACAACTTGAATCGGCGCCTGCCCTCTAGCAACCGGGCGCTTGGTGGCTGGCTTTGGCTTTGGGAAAGGTATGGCGTACGGCGTCACCGCCGGGAATGGGCAAAGCCCGATGAGGGAGGCACAAAGGGTCTTGGAGGTAGCCGACCCTATTTTAATCCCTCTGATGTCATGTGCAATGACTGGTCCCTCTGCAGCAATGAGGCCCTCGCAGACATCATGATCCTCAACCTAGACCATGTCAGTGGATATTTCCTTGGTTAATGAAGTTACATGCCTTGGCAAGCTTGCAAATGTCTGTAAGAACGTTTACGAAAGGTGTATTGCCCAAGTGTGCAAGACCCTTCAGGGCAATTAAAACTGACTGGCACGCCGTTAGCTATCTGATAAGAGAAACTGGAGACGTAACATTCGATCTCATACCTGGCATGCGGCGCAAGTCGCTGCATTTTCAATGCCTTTAAGGATGTCTGAGACGACGCTTTCCTTGACCAGCGCGGGAGTCTCAGAAACGGCAGCCAAGGCAACCTGAGCCCCCACAACGCTAGTGACAAGAGCCTGGAAGAACTTCATGGTTTCTAAAGGCGCGCTAGAATTCAAGGATGGGTAAGGAGTGTAAGATTTTGGGAATCCTTCATCCTTCTATAACATCTCGAGCCCGTACCACCGCAGCAAACAACATGGTCCACGTGGAATATCTGAAGAATCGTCGGAGTACACCGCACCTTCCTCGTTGGAGTAAACGCAAGGGGTATCACGGAGTATGCCGAGCTGCGTTCAGGCTGCATGAAGTGGGTCTATTATTCTCCCGCCCATGCTTTCTGTTCATGGTGTGCAGTAAGAAAACACGAGGATGCGTACGCGAATGACAACAACTGAGCTTAACCGTCAGTTATCAGCCAGCCATGACCAATAGCTTTTCCACTGAGGCCTACTTCGGGCGCAGTGCGCAGGGAGCTACAGCTAGCAGAGAGGAGCAGGCGCAGACGAAATAGATTGATCGGCAAAATAATAGAATACAACCTCCACCACCCCGGAATCAAGATGAGGGATTTTCCTGCTCCCCTGCACCCTTCCGAATTGGGCCGTAGCCCCCACGGTCGAAACGTCCAGGGTTAGAAAATCAATTATACCTTAGGGGGGCCGGCCCTTTTTTCGTGACCATTGGAGGATTAATCGTAAAAAAGGGTCTTAGACTGACCCACACTGTCTTATGTAGCTAATAATGTGGCTAGGAAAGGGCTTCGTACAGAATTATCTCGTTAAGTCGATGTAATTGGTCATGCATAAATATATCGAGTTATACGGAGGAATATCAAGTTAGAAAGTGATCTGAAGTAGACCCGAAGTAGCCCCTAAGCTAAACCATCCATCCATCCAACGTGCCTTGAACCAAGTCATTGGCTGTTTGGCCACTAATTGCCTCTCCACGCGCTCTAAAGAGCGCGAAAATGATGCTGGATCCGTGATGCCACTATTCTCAGATTCTGAGAACTCAATCAGAACTTGGAGGGCTTGTATAGCGTTCTGTGTGGTCAGCACAGGACGATGGGGCTCCTCATCGTCATCATATTGAGCATCAAAAACCTGTATATATGGAGCCATCACCTCCTGTAGAATTATGTCCTCATCTAAGCCTCCCTCCACCTCTTGTATTCTCTCCTCCACTGGATTCAAAAAGTTCGAAAAATCCATAGCATCTGATATATGACCAGCTTCTTATACTCGAGTATATAAGTCATTTAGAACAGGAAGTTGGTGTATAGGAAGCTGTATTGGGCGTAAAAGAATCGTGCTTTTCTGAAAGCAATTGTAGACCTATAGGATAGCATCCGTTTAGCCTCCGACTCGCACTTTCATATGCTATTACTGTGAGCTGGGTGCCCTGTGTCCTTACAATGATCGAATAAGCCAGCGAATTGCAAAGTGTATTGTCATTGTTTTGATTGGATCCAGGTTGTTGCTAAAAGGTTCAAGCATGAACTCGAGCCATTGCCGACGATAATAGCTTTTTAAAGAGGCTATAATACCTTGATCAAGAGGTTGATATCGACTGGTCGCATTTGGAGGAAGCCAGATAATTCATATGTTTGGAGGAGGAGGCATCGATTCCACTGCAGCTATATGGGCCGAGAAGTTATCCATTGTAAGCAGTATAGAACGTGACGTACCAATATGAGTATAGAAAGCATTTAGCCAATCTGCCATAACAAATTGATTCATCCAAGCCTTCTTATTCCACCTCCAAACCCCACCCATTGCCCCTACATCAACGTGTTGTAAAGCTTGAGGCTTTTTAGCCTTTCCAATAAACCAAAGAGGAAGTCGATCTGTTCCAGCAGCATTAACACAAAAGGACACAGGGCACCCAGCTCACAGTAACAGCATATCAGAGTGCGAGTCGGAGGCTAAACGGATGCTATCCTATAGGTCTACTACGAAGGATACAAAAAAGATGAAGGGGGAACCCCGTTGAGTCTGTTTCCTTAAGTACCCGAAACGGGCCCGACTCTGTTATCCCAATCCTAGCCCTGAACCTTCCACCGCAACAGGTCCGCATCAACCCTGAACCCTACACCCTTACCGTCCCCCACTATAGTGTAACTCGCTATGTGCTCCTCTACTGGTTCGAAACCACACCAAGTCGGATTTCATGCCTGTGGTGACCATAACAGCTCTGAGGCAGGTTATTCGAGTATCTAGGTAAGGAGGCATCCTTACATCTTCTGTCCTGGAATTGATCGTGTTGTAAAGCCATTTGAAGGGCTCATCCTCCAGTAAAGCCCAGTTGTAACACTGACTTCTAAACAATAGAAGACACAGAGGTTTCTTGCGTAAGGTTGACTTGACAGAGGAGGCAGGGGATTAGACACAAAGGCTTTTCAAGTAACACGTTACAGTATTGTAAAGAATATTTTATTGAGTTGAGCACGAAGCTCCTATCTATGGAAATACTATCTACTTATATAGTGGCGTCATGCCAACGAAGTCATGTAATGAATCATAGAGGGTTGTTATAATGATGCCTCCTTACCTAGATACTCGAAGAACCTGTCTCAGAACTGTTACAGTCACTACAAGCATGAAATCTGATTCAGTGTGGTTTCGAACCAGTAGAGGAGCACATAGCGAGTTACACTATAGTGGGGGATGGTAAGGGTGTAGGGTTCAGGGTCGATGCTGACCTGTTGCAGTGGAAGGATCAGGGCTAGGGTTGGGATAACCGAGTCGGGCCCGTTTTGGGTACTCAAGGAAACAGACTCAACGGGGTTCCCCCTTCATCTTTTTTGTATCCTTCGTAGTAGACCTATAGGATAGCATCCGTTTAGCCTCCGACTCGCACTCTCATATGCTATTACTGTGAGCTGGGTGCCCTGTGTCCCTACAGTTGTAGAGATATGCTATGTGGTCATATCGGCCCAGTAACTAAGGAGAAATGACGTGTAATGAATCATAGAGGGTTGTAGCAATTGTTGAGTAGTATTGCTCTTGTTGTTGGAATGACGCCACTATATAAGTAGATAGTATTTCCATAGATAGGAGCTTCGTGCTCAACTCAATAAAATATTCTTTATATTCGTTGCACTCAGTTTGCTATCAAACTCAAGAGCAAACTTGGAAATCTCCTCCTCAAACCTACAAGTCACTATACATATTTTGGCTTATTACACCAACAACAAGAGCAATACTACTCAACAATTGCTACAACCATCTATGATTCATTACATGTCATCGCTCCTTAGTTACTGGGCCGATATTACCACATAGCATATCTCTACAACCCTCTTGTTACGACGGAACAAGAAGGCTGGCCAACTACAGGACAGGAAGGAGGGAGGTCGCATGAGACCGGCCCTGGTACCTGGAGGGGCAGCGGGGAATAGTAGTTCCGAAAGTATCACGTGACGGACTCGCAGGATGATGAGAAGAGTCCTAAGAGTCCAGGACTCCGAGGACTCGAGTGAGTTCCCAGGAGTCCACTAGGCACGTGATGGACTCGCAGGATGATGAGAAGAGTCCTAAGAGTCCAGGACTCTGAGGACTCGAGTGAGTTCCCAAGAGTCCACTAGGCACGACGCCACTATATAAGTAGATAGTATTTCCTTAGATAGGAGCTTCGTGCTCAACTCAATACAGTATTTGTTATATACTAGTAACGTGTTACTTGAAGCCTTTGTGTCTGATCCCCTGCCTCCTCTGATAAGTAAACCTTTACGCAAGAGAACCTCTGTGTCTTCTATCGTTTAGAAGTCAGCGTTACACCTCTATGATTCATTACATGACATCACTCATACTACCACATGACATATCTCTACCAACTAGAGGCCTAGGAACATGAACGATAGCTCTAGAAGCTCCTACGAACCTCTATGATTCATTACATGTCATCGCTCTTTAGTTACCCACAAGATTGGTTAAGTTATGACATAATTTGTCTATGACATAATTTGTCTATGACATAATTTGTCTATAGGGGTACTCTGACCACTAAGTGCTAGTGCTATGGCTAGCGCTTACGGCTGCAACCTCACGTGATGGATAACATTGCATATCATGGATATTATGTTATCCATGATATCCACGGGGATCCACGGAATATCAGGTGATGTATAACATTGGATATCATGGATATTATGTTATCCATGTTATCCACAGAATTTGCTATAAAACTCAAGAGCAAACTTAGAAATCTCCTCCTCAAACCTACAAGTCACTATACATATTTTGGCTTGTCACACCAACAACAAGAGCAATACTACTCAACAATTGCTACAACCCTCTATGATTCATTACACGTCATTGCTCCTTAGTTACTGGGCCGATATGACCACATAGCATATCTCTACAACTGTAGGGACACAGGGCACCCAGCTCACAGTAATAGCATATGAGAGTGCGAGTCGGAGGCTAAACGGATGCTATCCTATAGGTCTACTACGAAGGATACAAAAAAGATGAAGGGGGAACCCCGTTGAGTCTGTTTCCTTGAGTACCCAAAACGGGCCCGACTCGGTTATCCCAACCCTAGCCCTGATCCTTCCACTGCAACAGGTCAGCATCGACCCTGAACCCTACACCCTTACCATCCCCCACTATAGTGTAACTCGCTATGTGCTCCTCTACTGGTTCGAAACCACACTGAATCAGATTTCATGCTTGTAGTGACTGTAACAGTTCTGAGACAGGTTCTTCGAGTATCTAGGTAAGGAGGCATCATTACAACAACCCTCTATGATTCATTACATGACATCACTCCTTAGTTACTGGGCTAATACTACACATGACATATCTCTATCAACTAGAGGCCTAGGAACATGAACGATAGCTCCAAAAGCTTCTACAACCCTCTATGATTCATTACACGTCATCGCTCCTTAGTTACCCACAAGATTGGTTAAGTTATGACATAATTTGTCTATAGGGGTACTCTGACCTTGGACCTCCTTTCACTTCCTATAGGCTAGGAACCTAGGAGATGGTTCTATGGGATTCTCTTACGTCGACTACAGTTACCAAGCCTGGTTAGTCATGGAAAGTCTGGGAAAATGAGAGAACTACACTCCTTTAGCATAAATAGGATTGCCCTTTCCTTAAGAAAGGGCAAGCAGACAATACAGTAAATTGACTATCACATACTTCCACGTCTTTTCCAAGCTTCCAAGCATTGATCTTGTTACTCCTTGTTTCTGAAAAGTCAGTGAGGTGCCAACCTCTGACTTATCCCTGAGTTCTCAGACTCAACATTTGTTACAACTTGTCTAAACCACTCCACTACATCATACACCTGATTGCTGCGTTGTGGAATAGTCTAAGCTATGACCCTTTGGCTCTTTTTCCTAAGACAGTGTGTTGTTTTAGTAAAATCATCCCTTCCTTGGGTGGCTAGATTCTCACATCTGGTGCACCCACCATTACACTTAGCTGTTACACCAGTCTCATCCATGTTGTAAATATTGTCGTCTAAAAACTCCCCCGCAATAGTTTGTATAGCCTTCATTTGTTCTTCTGCAGTGACACCAATAGATCCAGCTTCGCCATGTAGAGTTCGATATAATATATTAAGCTGTTGTTGAAACTTTACGATCCATCCGTAGCTAAATTCTGGCGTAGGTAGTCCACGGTATTGTGGTAGCTGATTCCAGATAATCTTCGCCTTTGATTGTAAGATTTCTGTAGTTGTAATGCCGCCACGCTCTTCAATAAGCCTCTGCCAGTCGTAAAGAGCAGCTTCTAATTCAGGCCAGGTGACAGCGCAGCGATGCTGAGCTTTAGAGCTGTTTGTTTCCAGAGTATTAGGAGTATCGTCAAGGTCCAAAAATCTAGAGCTAAGGGATTCTGAGACTGTAGATTGGCTAAGTCGATGATTGTATTGCTTGAGGAACCACTGTATAGTGGCCTTTTGTGTAGGTTTCGCATGGTGAGATCGATGCCAGGTTTGGAGGGCTTTTCGCTGTTCGAGAGTCATAGAATAGAGCTTTTTCGACGGCACTTTGAAGGTATTCTAAGAATAGTCCAGTAATTAGTTCAAGTCGATAATTGGGAAAAGGGACTCAATATCATGTGTATCATGATTTGTATGACGAATGGAAGGATCTGAAGAAAGTTATTGAGTTATCCAGAAAATTGACTAATTGTGTATTGACTTAACGAAATAATACTGTAGTATGATATTTTACTGCCAAGCCCATACTAGT